AAANTCAGATGGTCCGAGCGTCTCCACTTTATCCTTTTTCTTCCGCGCGCCAAAAGGAACCAACACCAAAGCAGCGGCCAGAAGGAAGAGAAGACGCTGGCTGAGTCGACTGCGATGCTCGTCCGGCAGACATACTGAGTGATGCCAATTGACAGGAGGAAGCTCTGTGTATTTGGGGCGGCGGTCGCTCTGCGGCTTGTCCTTATCCTGCTGTTCCCCGGCCTCCCCGACCTACTAACTGGCCGTGTCGAAGTGTCAACTCCGATCAGCAGCTTCAAGCGGCGTACGTATTACCAACAATTCCTCTCCTGGGGCCATGGAGGTACATGCTAACTCTCCTTTCTTCAACTATGCACAGTGCAGGAAGGCTTGTTCTTATATCTTCGGAATGTCTCCCCTTACGACGGCGGGGTGTTTCATCAGGTGCGCATTTACATTCGAGGCTACCATGTTACTCAATTTGCCAGCCCTTTTCTAACTAGGTACTGCTGCGGGATATAGGCACCGATCTTCCTTCCTCTGTTCTCTCTCATACCGCAGGCCCATGGATACACTATCCTGACAGTTCTTGTTTACACGCTGCTAGATCTCATTAACGCCAACGCGCTAATTGAGATATCAAATTCGGGCGAGTCGGTGGTGTCACGGCTATTCACTTCCCCGAGAAAGAAGATAAGATGGGATGGCATAGCTATTGTGATCGGGTATGGCGTATAATAACCCCCACTAATATATATTTGGCATCTACTGATTCTATTTCTAGATACCTGTTCAACCCCTTTACAATAGCAACATGCCTTGGGCGCCCTACCACAGCTTTCACAAACACGGCTATAATATATGCGATATCAAATGCTATTGCTGGTAGGAGCGTCAACTCTATGCTAGCTCTGGGTCTGGCCTCCTATCTCTCCGTTTATCCCGCTCTCTTGTTCCCACCTTTAGTCTTACTTTGCTATGATCATTATACTAGCAAGGTCAAGTCTGGAGGCAGCTGCGTACCATACGTCGCCTCGCACTTTCTCATTTTCGCCGCGGATATTGCAGGGTTTTTGGCCATATCATATGGCGTAACCGGTTACTCTTGGGATTTCCTCTCTGCTATGTATGGCGCGCACCTACTGGTTCCCGACTTGACCCCCAATGCCGGCTTATGGTGGTACTTCCTGATAGAGATATTCGACCCGTTCCGTGAATTCTTCCTAGGGGTATTTTGGCTGCACCTAGCAAGTTACGTGGGGGGTTTAACCATACGACTAAGGCGACAACCGCTTTTCGTCATGACATGTCTTCTTGGTATCTTCGCCATCTTCAAGCCTTACCCCAGCATATCCGATGTTTCGATATATCTGTCGTTCCTTTCGCTTTACCGACACATATTCCCTCGTATGTATTTCTATATCCGTCGTACCCTGTTAAATCCACTAACACGATCTAGTAATGCGCTATACCTTCCTTTCCGTCTCGGCTTTGTTGTATGCCAGTCTTCTGGGCCCGATCTTTTATCACCTATGGATATACGCAGGTTCCGGAAACGCCAACTTCTTCTATGCCATCACGCTTGTATGGAGTCTTGGGCTTTCTATCCTCGTTGCGGACTCTTTATACGCTGTTCTCAGGGATGAGTGGGACGAAGAACGGCCAGAAGTAAGAGGGAAAGAAGCGAGACAGATATGATGGTTTAACTTTCAATTGAAATCAGGGGTCGAGATGTCCATCTTCTCACTGCTATCATTCGTAAACGGTTGGGACATAATCATATAATCGTACTCTTTCATCTTCCCGTTCCGTAATTTGGCTGGCTTTGGTGAATTCGCGTCCTCCGTGAAACCAAGCCGTTCGTAGAATCTAATAGCACTCGTGTTAGACTTAAATACCGTGAGCATCCCCTTTTGAAGACCTATGTTCTTGCCAATGTCTTCGAATATTTGAAGTAACTGTTTTCCGACACCCTTGTGCTGTACCTCGGGGGCAAGGTGAATTTCATAACAGTAGAGAACCTGCATCTCGTCTTCCTCGGTAACCATGAAGGACAAAAAGCCTCCAACTGTCGGCATATCCAAAGTACCTTCGGTTTCGTTATTCTTTTTCAAAACAAGTACCATATATCGCATGTCTAACAGTTTCATTTCTAATTTCTTTTTGCGGGCAGACCAACCAGAGGCCGACTGCTTATATGCTGCCGAACTGGTAAGATATATAAGATCGTAACACGCAGTCATATATGGCTCAGGTATTGAGGCGGCAGTATAAAACTGAAGCGAGTAGGAGATGTGCCCAGGCTCTCCATGGGTATCATCCGAACTTGTAGTAGGGAGTCTGATGGTGAGATCCAAGGCATATGGCGGTATATACCGATGAATAAACTCGCTAAAAGGAGCTGAGTTAATACTTTCAACTAGAGACGTATGTTTTGGCCCTACAACCCTCTTAGCATTGAAGAGTTGGACGTTGGAAATCTGTGGGCTAGCTAGTCACCTTTTATGCGTGTTTTTGCTATATTAATAGGGCGTTCAGTAAGTTGGGGCGTCTCCGCAGACAGAGTTGGCTCTGCATTCCTTTTTCGTTTTTTTATCAGCATCGTCTTCTGATTCTGCGACAGATGGGCGGGTTAGTAGATGGTCGTAACTGAGTTGTAGGTAGGCAGGAAGCGCGGTCGCTAACAGGTTGAGTAACTAACAGGTTAGGCGCAGAATTAGTTAAGTTAACTCCTTAATTGCGGCGCGGCTAACTAACTTAGTTAAAAGTTTCAACACCCAGCTTAACTACCAGGTATTGCTTCCTTGATTCTCCATACCAAAATTTATTAGTGCTTAGCATTTTTATACCCTGTTCACAAGAGCAATAGAAAGCCTCCAGCCTTCATGACTTTACGCATCTAATGAAGAGCTGGCCATGCAAGGGACCATCCGACTGCTGGCTGGAGCTGCAAGGCCAGGCTCGAGGTTAAAATCGCCACCGCTGAATTTAGAGCAGGTAGGCCGTTTGCTTCGAACTGTCATACGCAAATGATTCAAGAGACTGATAGAATGCTTGAAGTTTATCGTACGCCAACGGGTTTTGAGCCTATGGCGTGAAATTCTGCGATCAACCAAAAGTGAGCAGCCTACCATGTACAAGAAGTACTTTGTCTTCAAGGGATTAATGAATGAGCCGCCGCCTGGATATTCAGGGATACCCAATTCCTCTACTAAGCATGAATTGAGATCATTCGCGCGCGGAGAGTTTGAACGGCATAAAAACGTCACGGATGTGGTATGTCAGAAAGTTCACGACGTTTCCTCTGGTATATAGACATGTTAGTAACTTGGAAGTAGGGTCATATACGATATCTACTCTCGGTATAGTTAATTCGAGCCAACGTTACGGAGCTATATACCTGTCAAGTGTACTGACTTTCTATGAATATAGACTGGAAAGACAGAGTTTGATACTATGAGACGGTATATAGACGAACAGATCGTCTAGCTGGCCGTGGGGGGTTCTCATTTATTGATTCATTCTAGAGATCTTTCATTTTGGTGTTATACACATGTACATTACCTCGCAGAGTAGAGCTCAGCTAAAATTGGGTGTATGCTCCCTTCCAAACCCTGGCACTACAATGGCCACGAACGCCTGTCCCGATTGATAGTATACAAATTGCGGATATTGACGACAACAATGATATCCTCGGTCTCTACTTCGAGCCCCATGAGAGATTCTTCACAGCTGAAAGTACACCGCCTGAACCGCCGTCCTTTTTGTCGCCGGATTCCTTGGCTGGTTCCTCTGAGGCGTCGCGCCCTGCGGCGTCCGGTGCCGAATCTGCCACGAAGGGCTTCACTTCAACCCCCTTTGCGGCCTGTTCGATGGTAGCATGTCTGCTCTGCCAGTCCTTGTCCTCTTGTTCTCTTATTTCTAGTTCTTTCAGCCAGGCATCCCGCTTCGCCTGTTGTTTCTTCAGGTCCATGGCCTTTTCCAGCTGTTTTCGCTGGTCCCGTTCTGTCTTGTAGTACACACTGCCGGCGCATACGGCGAGTAGAGTGAATGCTTGTGCATATATACGGGCGCGGAACATGCGATTGACTTGTACGGAATCGCCCATCTTCATAGACCGGTATGCCCGGAACAGGGCATAGCAGGTGGCACCGATTCCTATATTGCAACCACGGGCCCGTCAGTAAACAGATACCGTTCACCATAAAGAATACTTTCCGTACAACCCATGTAAAGGAAAGCGAAGGAAAAAGAAGACTCACCCAGAGGAACCAGTGGCTCTTCTTTTAGTCGGCGGCCCAGCTTCTTCCAGGCATTGTCCTGGAAAAAGTCCCTATGGCACAAGGTCAGCTCAGCTCGGGCCCGGCGCGGAGAAGAGAGAGAATCGCAGGTAAAAAGAAACTTACGGGTCGTCGTCAAACGACGATGGCAACGGCTTATCGCTCATTGTGCTCAACGGTCCTCCTTATGGCCTGATATGAGGCAGAGGGACTACTTTGCTGTCTGGATCGAACTACACAATAAGCCATACCCATCCACAGGTGGACCACCAAAGATAGCAGCGGAATTTTGTAGGACCGAGGCCTCGCTGTTAAATGGAAGTTGACGCTCAGTCGTCCCAGCATTTGACAGTCTGCGTTTTGAATATTTGATAGAAGTGTGCTATATTCTGCTAGAGATATTGTATGACACGGTGTAGCTTGGTGAAGTCGCTGAGCCGAATAGCCAATAACTATGACTGCAAATATCCGGATCTGACGATTTGACCCCTTTTACCTAGACACCAGGTAGCCAGGTTGATCACGCTTGACAATCATAGAGACGCTGGAATCAGCATTCATGACCTGATATGCCTGGACTCTCTCTCTCTCTCTCTCTCAATGTCTCTGCCGGGCAGATGGCTTCCCTCCCGCTCTCCATCGAGCAGAGAGCAATGGAAGGATTCGGTGCTTTGATAGATGCCGCATTGCGCGTGCCGCACACCTGCCAGCTCACTTGCATGCACCTCAAGGAGGATAAAGGAGTTACGCGGTAGTTAGATGGAAGATCCCCATGCATGCATGCCCTTGAACGAATAGTTATATCGCGAATATAGTTATCGGGTGGAAACCGACCTCAGTGGCGCTCGTTTCTCTAGCACAAACAAGCGATAACCAAGTACTTTTTTCCAGCCATCAGAAGCAGTTAACGATTGACTGATTCCCCTCTCGCTAACGCCCCTTCATCCTCGTCGCTGTCAATTCTATGTTTGCTGGCTACCGTACTTCATGCATGGCCTGCTCCTCCTTCATCGCCCAAAAGCCCGCAGGCTAGTTAAGTTCGTTCGTTAGTTAGTTCGTTAGGCCCTAAGAGGGAAAAAAGAAAGAAAATTGCATCATAAGTAGAATTTTAGTGAGCAAAAAGTGTTAAGGACTTCCCTAAGCTAAATATAAAAATAAAATACTCGGTCGACGAGCTAGAAGAGTCATAATCCTTGCCTGTCTAGCTATCTATTCACCTGCAAGGCCAGCTCGCATTTACCGTTTTTTCCCCTTAGCTATTTAAAACATTCGGAGTTCGTTGATAAACGCCGCAGCTTGTTCTCATAGCTACCCAATGGAGACCGCAATGGGCGACCAACTACCAAGCGGCGCAAAAACTCCTACACGGAACACCCTCTCGCTGACCGAGTACACTGCTACTCCCTCTCCTCCCTCCAAGTCAGAGGAATGCCCGCCAGAATGGGATATCCCCGAGGGGTTCCTGCTGCCAAACGGATACCCAGATGTATGGTCGACAGCTCGAGTTTTGGTAGACATGGCATGCTAACAAGTGGCTGCAGTACATACGGCTCATTCTGACATCTCGAGTGTATGATGTGATTCAAGAAACGCCTCTTACACATGCTGTCAACCTCAGCAACCGGCTAGAATGCAAGATCATGCTGAAGCGGGAGGATCTCCTGCCCGTCTTTAGCTTCAAGCTCCGGGGTGCCTATAACAAGATGGCCCATCTACAGGGAGAGAAGCGGTGGAAGGGAGTCATTGCTTGCTCTGCTGGTGAGATCGAAGCTGCTATACCTGTATACGCTTTTGCCCAGGTAGTAGTGCGTACTGACATTGTATGACTAGGAAACCATGCCCAGGGTGTTGCATACTCTGCACGCCATTTAAAGATCCCAGCGACAATCGTCATGCCATCAGGCACCCCGGCAATTAAACACAAGAACGTCTCGAGGTTAGGTGGGACGGTCATCCTCCACGGACAAGACTTCGATGCTGCGAAGGAAGAAGCGCAGAGGCTCGAGAAGCTCCATCACCTCACCAACATCCCGCCGTTCGACGATCCGTATGTCATTGCTGGACAAGGCACATGCGGCATGGAACTTCTCAGACAAGCGAACTTACAAAACTTAGAAGCTGTCTTTTGCTGCGTTGGAGGAGGCGGTCTGATCGCCGGTATAGGTACCTACATCAAACGTATTGCGCCCAATGTCAAGGTTATAGGAGTCGAGGCTGTTGATGCCAATGCCATGAAACAATCTTTGGAGACTGGAACACGCATCACACTCAAGGAAGTTGGCCTATTCGCAGATGGTGCTGCCGTGCGAGCAGTGGGCAAGGAGACTTTCCGGCTCTGCAGAGAGGTGGTAGACGAAATCATCGAGGTATCAACCGACGAGACCTGCGCCGCAATCAAGGACATGTTCGAAGACACTAGGTCAGTCGTCGAGCCTGCGGGCGCCCTGGCGCTAGCTGGCTTGAAGAAATACATATCGAAATACCCATCAAAGAATCCGAACAGAGAGCTAGTCGCCGTTGCGTCCGGAGCGAATATGAACTTCGATAGGCTTCGTTTTGTGGCAGAGCGTGCCGGCCTTGGAGAAAAGAAAGAGGCTTTGCTACGTGTTTCTATTCCCGAGCAGCCTGGCGCCTTTGCCAAACTTATAGATGTTGTAATGCCGCATTCTGTCACAGAGTTCAGTTACCGGTACTCTGGTAAGGAATTCGCCGATATCTTCATGGGAATATCACTTTCTACACCATCAGATGCCCACGATTTGCAAGCCCTGACCGCTCAGATTCGAAAGGGGGGCATGGAAGCATCAGATTTGAGCAATGATGAGCTTGCAAAGACACATCTTCGATATCTTGTTGGTGGACGCACAAGTACCCCAGACGAAAGATTGTTCATGTTTGAGTTCCCTGAACGTCCCGGCGCTTTGGAGAAATTCCTCACTACCCTTCGCCCAAATCAAAATATCACCCTCTTCCACTATCGAAACTTTGGAGGGGATGTTGCTAAAGTCCTCGCTGGTATACAGTGCCCACCTGATGAAAGAGAAGCGCTAGGCGCGTTCCTTCACGATCTCAGGTATCCTTTCACCGAGTGTACGGAATCGCCGGTATATCAAATGTTCCTTAGGCAATAATTTTCATTCATGAACGCGCCTGAGCTTTTAATAACTCGTCTGCAAACATTTTAAAGAGTACTCAATGGAGTAATGGATGATTGGATTATCGGGCTTTCACAAACTGTTTCCGCATGGGAATGCGATTGGGGTATCCAAGAGTAGAACTTCTTAATTAAAGTATGCGAGGGCATATTATACCACGAACAATAAATGTGAATGATGACCCATATCGATTCAACTCGCAGCAATAGAAACAATAGAAATATATTACAATCTCGTAGGTAGTTAACAGAAGCCAACGTCTGCATGTTTTCGAATTGACTGGCGAAGGGACCCGGTCTGGATGGATTATATAATCGAACCTTAATTAGGAATGCGGTAGAATAAATTTCCGTAATGCCAAGACATAGAAATCTGATCGCCCTCGCGAAACGCTGGACGGCAAGCAATTATTAGCAAGATCTAAAGAAATATCAATTGGCACCCTTAACGAACAGCTCCTTTTCGTTGAAGCCTGTTGCAGGCACCTCGAAATATTCCAAATCCCTTGCAGCCCGACGACCTCGCTACCTAACCTCGAGTGACTGTTACGCTCACTCTCCCACACTCAACACCGGCACCATGCTGGGCCTTCGATCCCTCCTCTCCACGCCTTCGAAACTTCCACTCTCCCAATTCACATCAGTTCTTCCGCGGAGTATATGCCGAACTGCCTTTATTCGAGCCTTTTCGCAAGCCTCCGGGGCAAACCTTTCAACTAAGTCGATATGGAGAACTTCTGAGACCTTATCAACCGGGCTGAAGAATCTGTGCTCAAAAGGTGTACAGTCTTTTGGCCAGACCCGAGGAATGAAGACACGGTCATCCGTTAAGCGACTGTGTGAAGGGTGCAAGGTACGATATTCTAGTTATGGGGTGTGGTGTTGAGTCCACGATAGTAGATTCTCTAAGAGGAACTGCCCTTAACATAAGCACCATCATAAGAGATGGGAAACAAGGCTGTTACTAACTTATGTTGCTTTTCATTGTAGCCCGTTCGACGGAAGAATCGTGTGTACATTATTTGGTATGTTCGAGGAAATCAGCTCTTTCTGTCAGTATGCTAACTGCCATTTTAGCTCGAAGAACCCGAAACACAAGCAGAGACAAGGCAAATAGATGAAATAGATGTTGGAACTAAATGTATTTGTACCCATTTTTAAAACAAGGGAACTTGGGGGATTTGTGAACCTATAACGTGGTATATACCATCTTTGCTGCTGTTTTCCACTTCTTAAATGTGTATAATATGATGACCTTACCCAACCTGCGTTTAAATACCGATACCTTGTGCGCCCTGCATTGACAGTTCTCCAGTAGCGAGCTCAATATATCTTCCAGTCAGCATTTGATTCACTACTAGTGCATAGATATCAATTCGACGATTATATAATCAGGAACGATGACATCATGTGACTTTTCCCGGTGCACTGGTCTTGGCAAAAAGTTTATTTTTGAAGCTCCAAAAAGTTTTGAATTAAAGATTTGAAGATTGAAGATTTGGAGAAGCAAAGGAACCAATTGGTTTGAAAGGCATCAACAACTGCTTCAAGATGAGAGCCCACACCTTGATGCGACGGCCAGTCCGCGCGTTCACGAATCTCTCGCGCACCTCAATTCGATTGCAGTCGACGACACCGTTTGCCCAACGATGCCTCTTCAACACTCCACTCGCTTCCAACAGCACCCCCCTTCCCCGGTTTCCGCTGAGCGGACGGTGGGAGCCCCGGAGGTGTCTAGCAACTGCAGCAGAGATGTAAGCGTGTGAAATCCTCTGAGAGAACGTGGACCTGTGAACTCAATTGCTAATTATATTCTTTCCAATCGATAGCCTTGAGAAAGCCGCCAACCCTGAGGAACTCACAGAAGCCACAATTATAGAAAATATGAAGCCAGATGAAATGAAACATATGTCACGAATGCGAAACATTGGAATTGCTGTTAGTTACCCTCCTTCTGTTCCTAGGTAAACAGTCACTCACCAACAATAGGCACATATTGACAGCGGAAAAACTACTTCGACGGAGCGAGTCTTGTTCTACACCGGACGTATTAAGGCTATCCATGAGGTCCGTGGGCGTGATTCCGTTGGCGCAAAGATGGACTCTATGGATCTCGAGCGTGAGAAGGGAATTACAATCCAGTCAGCGGCCACGTTCTGTGACTGGGTCAAGAAGGAGAATGGCAAAGACGAAACCTACCACATCAACTTGATCGACACCCCTGGACACATTGATTTTACAATTGAAGTCGAAAGAGCTCTTAGAGTTCTTGATGGTGCCGTTTTGATTCTTTGTGCTGTTTCCGGTGTCCAATCGCAGACCATGACTGTTGATCGACAAATGAGAAGATACAATGTTCCCCGAATTTCGTTCATTAACAAAATGGACCGCATGGGCGCAAACCCTTTCAAAGCAGTGGATCAGATCAATCAGAAACTTAAGATCCACGCTGCTGCTGTGCAGGTGCCAATCGGAAAAGAGGACGAGTTCAAGGGCGTTGTCGATTTAATCAGAATGAAGGCAATCTACAACGAAGGATCCAACGGCGAAATCATTGTTGAGAAGGATGAAATTCCTGAAGATCTTCTCGACGTTGTTCAGGAGAGACGAAACAAACTGATTGAAACCCTTGCTGATGTCGACGATGAGATTGCAGAAATATTCCTAGACGAGAAAGTACCAACTCCGGAGGAGATCAAAGCAGCTATCCGCAGAGCCACTATTTCTCTAAAGTTCACACCTGTTTTTATGGGATCTGCGTTAGCTGATAAGTCCGTTCAACCTATGCTTGATGGTGTTTGCGACTACCTCCCCAGCCCTGCGGAAGTCCCCAATTTAGCTCTTGACCAGAAGCGAAACGAAGCTTCTGTCAAGCTTGTTCCATATGCCGACCTTCCTTTCGTCGGACTGGCCTTCAAGCTTGAAGAGAGTAACTTCGGTCAGCTTACTTACATTCGTGTATACCAGGGTACCCTGCGAAAGAGCATGAACGTGTTCAACGTGAAGAATAACAAGAAAATAAAAGTTCCACGAATTGTACGAATGCACTCAAATGAGATGGAGGAAGTTGCAGAAATTGGACCCGGTGAAATATGTGCTGTTTTTGGTGTCGACTGTGCATCTGGTGATACGTTTACGGACGGAAAACTGGGATACACCATGTCTTCCATGTTTGTGCCCGAGCCCGTCATTTCGTTATCCATCAAGCCCAAGAGCTCCAAAGATCTGGCCAATTTCTCCAAGGCTATCAACCGTTTCCAGCGAGAAGACCCTACATTCCGTGTCTACTTTGATCCGGAGAGTGAGGAAACCGTCATTTCAGGAATGGGTGAATTGCATCTCGATATTTACGTTGAGCGCATGCGTCGTGAATACCGTGTCGACTGCGTCACAGGAAAGCCTAGAGTGGCGTACCGTGAAGCCCTAGGAAAGCGTGTCGACTTCGATCACCTGTTAAAGAAACAGAGTGGTGGTCCTGGTGACTATGCCCGTGTCGTTGGTTGGCTAGAGCCATCTCCAAAACTTGAAGTTAATGAGTTTGAGGAACAAATTGTTGGTGGAAGCATTTCGGAGAAGTTCTTGTATGCTTGTGAAAAGGGTTTCAACTTGGCCTGCGAGAAAGGTCCTTTGATCGGCCATAAAGTCCTCGGCACGAGGATGGTCATCAATGATGGTGCTACCCATATGACTGACTCTTCTGAAATGGCATTCAAGAATGCAACCCAGCAAGCCTTTAGGAAGGCCTTCAAAGAGGGCGAGCCCCATATCCTTGAACCTCTCATGAAGATCGTTATCACCGCCCCAACAGAATTCCAAGGTGATATCATCGGTTTGCTGAACAAGCGCAATGCCATAATCAACGATACCGAAACAGGTGTAGATGAATTTACCATCTTCGCTGATTGCAGTTTGAACAGCATGTTCGGCTTCAGCAGCCATTTGCGAGCTGCCACCCAGGGTAAAGGTGAATTTACCATGGAATTCAGTCATTATGAGAAGGCTCCCGGTCAGCTCCAGTAAGTAACCATTTTTCAATTGCACTAGAATTTTCCAGGTGTTGAATACTAACAATACTCTTTGCAATTATAGGAAAGAGCTCATTTCTGAATACGAAAAGGCCCAGGCTGCACGACATAAGTAGGGCCTCGATTGATGTGCCATTCTAATATCCCTTGCAAGCGAGTTACCGCTGCTGCGCCCATTATTGGTACCATATATAATCTGTTTTATGTTTTTCCCCGATATAAAGCCACCCTCTTCGCTTTATTGTATATTAGATTTCTTGGGAGGGCACAGGATGGGTCAGTTCCTTCGATTTCCTCCTTGACAGTTTCTGCATTTCATGCCGTTTTCCAAAGCATTTATCCTAGCTCTCCTATTCTCCAATGCACCTGTGTACTATAGATTGTACAATCCCCTTAGAGCTCGAAAATGGCCTCTCTTTGATAACCCTAACCTCAAGGCGATGCAGAGGGCCAAATACGTGGCGAGGTTTGAGGTGAATATACACAAAAGATAGACCTTCCTGCTACAATAAATCCAGCTAATGATGAATCACAAATTATACGACTTGATAGATTATACTCTCTATTTCTTCTATATCCTAAGCTCTAGCAGTGTGGTTTAGCTCCGAACGTCTATATTGGTTTATCGAGAAGTCTCAGGAGAGCAACAGCAACGGTATTGAGAGTACCGATTTCATTATGACCTGTGGGATTGTAGCAGGGTGTTAGCGATTAGTACGGGTAGAAGGTAACAAATTAAGAGAATACATAAAGAACATCATACCTCCATATCTAACCCTTTCCCACCTAACTCTCTTCAATGCCTTACTAGGCCCATCCATTCTCTCCCATACGGTGGATTGGATGACTCCATCTTCAGAAGTATGATTGTGCGTAAAGGATCCAAGTTCAACAGCCATTTCCCCACCAGTAGCTGCGTCCCATACACTTCTACCTTCACGCCATGGAATATCACGGTCGTTGATAGCGTGTATAATGGTCAAATCAAATGGCAACAACTCGTGGTTTTGTGCCTGTTTTGAGGCAATGCCTGTCAAAGCAGCAAGTCTAGCTGCTGTGTCCCATCGATCCAGAAGGCGATCCAGTATGTATTTCTTTAGCTGTGGGTATTGAAGTAAAGGTGAAAGAATTGGAGGAATAAAACCCATGATGCAGTAAGAGTGCAGAAGCTGTGGGATATTAGTAAATGGTGCCATGAGAATGACTCCTGCAAATGACTCTTTCGCCTTTACAGGGGCGGGGCCTGAAGGATTTCCGAACGTATGGCGTTCAGCTAGAGCACTGGCAACAGCTGTTCCTAAGCTTTGACCTGCAATAACAATCCTCTTGGGGGATATCGAGAGTGGTGGTGAGGTTAAGTAGTTAACTACAGTAAGAGCATCCGTGATTAACCCTTCTTCGGTTGGTTTACCGGTAGATCTCCCAAATCCCCTATAGTCAAAGGCAATGACATGGACAGGTCGAGACGGAGTGGAGGCGGAGAGGAAGTTTTGATAAACTTTGGGACGATATCCAGTCCCGATGTCAGCTGCATTCCCATGAACTGCAATAGGGTATTAGTAGGGTGGCCCTTTAATAATATATGCATCTAGATACGTTACGTACGGTTCACAACGACCCTTGAGTTTTTCTCCTTTGCTAACAGCTGGAAGGCAGGTGTCTTGGTAATGTCATCTGGAGGCCCTGACGGAGGGTTCTGTAGAAGTAGATCCTCATTGTCCTTGTAAAGATGTGTGGGAATAATGTGCCAGGAGTAAAGGGTTTCATTATCAGGGGTAGTGAGAGTGAAAGGTTGGACCTGGGATTCTGTTTCTTGTTAATATGCAGTTACCAGTCCACAGAGCTAGGGGTATACATACTCAGGAACCCGAAACATTCGACATTGTTCAAATCAAGGCATTTTGATGGATTTATTCCATTGGAGTATAGTACGCTAGAAAGAGTATCTATCAATATATGCGACATACAGTGGTAAAAGGCGAGCTTGGATAAATACCCTCGTTGGATAGCTGGGTGCGTCAAGGACAGGACAGCTAGTAAATATAGGAGCCCGCTAGCTGCCAGAAGCCAGTAGGCCTTTTTGAAAATTGGAAGAAGCTCCATGAATCAAACAGTCGTACTATATCAAATCATCATCAGCCCGTGTTCTGGACAAGTCACCACGAAACCGATGTTTTGTACCTGGCGCACGTAGCTAACTTGATTGACCGTAGCTAGCAAAATATCAAGCCAGCGTCCTTGTCATCAAACGAGCGGGTATATATTACAGTATTATGGTGAACTACGCAGCCACCAACCGTGAATATGTACGAGAGTGAAGAATATCCTCCGTCGTCCTTTTCAAACAGCGAGATAACAAACTGATGAGCTACGCTAATAATATAATCAGTTTAGGTATTTTTTGAACTTCGGGAAAAAGGAGGCTGAAAATCACGAGCCAAGGCAAAAGTTCCGCGCTTTCGGGATTTTCGTTTTTAACGACTTCACCATCTCGCGTCGTGGCCGCACCATTGATTCTGCGTGCTGGGGAGGGCCTTTTTCAATCCACAACGAGGCTAGAGCTTTGTCTGTTTAGCTGTCAGCATGGCAGAGAAGCGAAAGCAGCCCGGACCGGGCAAGAATCGCGGTGGTCGGCCCCGCAAGAAGAGACTTGAAGACGCTGCGGAAGCCGCTCCATCTCCAAAGCGACAGCGAAGACGGGAGCCGTCAGCTACGCCTTCGAAGAAAGCTACTGCAACACCTGCGCCGTCTCTCCCAGCAGAGCTTCCCGCAGAAGAATCACTCCCTACCAAGATATCTGAGAATCAGACGCTACCGACCCTTCCCCGGCCGCAAACACAGAGCTCCCTATTAGATTATCAGTCATATGCAGACAGGTGCGCCTACATTCTGGAGACGGAGAGATATTCTGGATGAGTACGCTTGGAAGTCAAGAATTACGCTGATAATTTATTTGATTAGTGGTGTTATTTCTGCAGCGCTGCATCGATCGCGGACGAGATGGCTTCATGATTGTCTGTTCGAGAAGTACTGGACCAAACCATCAAAGAAGAAGAATCAACCTCAACCGACATTTCAAAATCCTCCAAAGGACTCAATGACGAAGTTGGGACCTTGTACGATGGTTATTGAACCGCATTATTTCGATATCATGCTCTATGCCGTACGACGACCGCAATCCCAACAGCCGAACCAGCAGCAGCAACAGAAACCTATGGTTCAATTACAGTATACGCCCCCAAGTAACTCGGGCCAGTTTCATGAGTACAATCCTCGACCACCTCCAGTTCAGGTGCCGCCAAATAGATCCCCCAATACCGTCCCTCCTCCTCAGCCTCCTCGCCATCCACAACAGCAATATCAGCATCAACAACAGCCGCCATTACCTCCTCCTCCTCCCGCCCCTCCGCAGCAGCAGCAGCAGCAACAACCCCGGCAGCCACCCCCGTTACCACACCATCCTCCCCATTCACAGTCCCAAGCGCCTCCGCCTACCACTGCGCCGCCTCCTGGACCCGTTCATCAACCCCCGACATCTCAACCTCATGGTCATAACATTCCCCAGAAGCCTCCAAATCCTCCACCTGGGAAACCGAGCACCGACCCTGTTATCCAGCTTCTCGCCAATAGAGCTGCTACCAACCCCGATCTAAGGGCTTTAATGAGGATAGTTGCGGATAGTCAAGCTGACCAGGAACAGCTTCGAGCCTTTCAGGCCCATATTGATGAAATAAATGCGATTATTGCTAGTAGAAACTCGAAGGACTCACAACCAAACCAATCACAAGCAAAGCCAGAACCCCCCACGCAGATGGGCGCACCTCCAACTTCAGCTAGCGCAGCACAAAACCGAGTTCATACCCCCATTGCGTCACGCAATCCAGCAGTGGCTCCTGGGCCAGTACCCTATCATCCTCAAAATCAACACCCTCATCCCCCAGGACCCCAGTACCCCCCTGGCCCTCCTGGACAGCAAGGGCCAAATTCGATTAAAACTAAACATACCCAGAAGGTACCTCCGCCTCAAAATGGATACTTCCGCCCTCAATATTCACAGCCAGTTTCACAGCCTGCAAGAATGGATATCAAAAACGTGGTCTTTGAGTTCATTCTACCCGCAGGCTCAAATAATGGCCCAACCGGAGATCGATATTTATTTCCAGAGAATATGATATTGGATTATTTTCCCGGGAATACTACGGTTATTGCATCTTTCCTAGCAATCAAAAAGATCGGCCCACCAGGATCTTCGACAGAATCAGACAAGAAAGCTCCTGTGAAGGTAAGGGGCAAAAAGGCCAAACTGCTTCAAGCTGCCGCTGCCTCTAACTCCGGTGACAGCCCATCCAAACCACCTGCTTCGCAATCAGAAAGCATGAAAGATACCAAAGGGACAGATGCAACTGCAACTGTGGAAAATTCCAAGACATCAGATGCCCCTGAAACACCTGATGATAATGCATCTTCAACTTCAGGAACCAAACCCAAAGCTGAGGAATCTAGCGTTAAGGAATACTACCAGCCTGTCACATTACGACTACATGCAAGCAATCCCAGAACCCTCGAACCTCTCGGGCGTGTTGTAAAACCTCCTGGAGAAGTGCGGGATTATATGAATGGTGTTATGGATAGGATTGAGCGTGCCGATATCGAATATCTTGCCTTCAGACTGCCACAAGAACACCGACGAGCTCGTGGTGCTGCAGCAGGAGACGAAACCTCTAAACTCGCAGGCCCTGCGCGAGGCGCTTCAAAGCTCAATGGAACAGAGAGCGAATCAGGTGTGGGCACTCCTCGGAATGGGGACAGAGATGACAATGGTAGCAAATCTGCTGAAGTACTGCAAGACCATTATGATCTTCCATCAGGACTTGTGCCTCTCAGACCGTGAATTCATTTTTATTTCATTTTTATTTTTTTTTTTTTTTCCTCCCAGTTATCTCTTATGCATTGTCGGCGTACACAGAACTTTCTTTTGGGTATTAGGAAGGGAGAAGCATCTCATAAATCAGCATGAATTAACGGGTAGAGTGCATGTTTGGAAAGGCGTGGCTCAAAAATGAATTAACATTCTCGCAACTTAGTTATTATTATTACTTCATAAAATCGTTAAGACAGTCTCCCGCTGCTTGACCCCTGTAACTTCTCTTTTGGCAACCATTTTATCGACGTCTTGCTGAATCTCCAATGATCCCAGCCATTTCCAACAAGGCTCTCCCGGACTGTTCCTCAGAATCACCGCCACCAACATTCAGATGGATCTCCCGGCGTCTTTCAGCCTCGCGAGCTTCAAAATTCCAATTAGCCTGCTGGCGCGCAACAGCATCAGGTATATCGCCATTCGCTGTGGAGGTACGACTGTGATATGGTGACTGTGCAGGCGTGGGCGCCGTCTGAACAACTCCCCAGACTTCAATATTATAGATTGATATTTTAATCGTTTCACTTTCTGCTTTCGATGGGGGGTGCGATGGAGACCAACGTGCGATTCCAGGGGGAAGAAACACGCCCTCTTCATGACTTAGGCCATTCGACATGAAGAATTCAGCGTTTTCCAGAGCGGGGTTGATCCACAAACTGCCACTGCCTGCAGGTGTAGGGCGACTTGTGTCCATCGATGTGCGTGTTGGTGGAGGTATTTTGCAGCCAATAGCTATACCAGACTTAGTAGAAAACGATACCACAGGTAGATTGGATTTCAGAGAATTGATTGATGGAGATCCCTGCATCACTGCATGTCTGGGACTTAGTTGGAATAGGCAGGGTAACTGGGACTGATGAGATGTGTCATAGTGGGATGTTGATGTCGATGCGGGTAATTTCCAGGGTTGCGGAATATATGCTCCAACAGTTATTATATCGGCTTCGTCACCAGAAGAATGGCTATTGGAACCTGTTACCAACAGAATGCTTGGGGCATCCCAAGTAAGAACGTGATGCGAAAAGGACGTCAGAGATTCACCATGGGTATCAGAAGAAAATACTCCGTGTAGGCGTGTTCCATTCTGCAGAAGGTTGGGAGTTGGAGATGAGGTTGAAAGGAAGAATGAAAGATGGGAGATCACTGCGGAATCAAGAATGCAGGGTTTGAAAGACCCAGGAAGTATTACTGGCGGGTGTGAAGGTGAAAAGTACGACTCTGTCTTTGTCTGTTTCTCTTCACTAACTGAGCAAGTTCCCGAGTCCTTTCTCCTGGACAAGTCAAGATTCTTGCTGAAAAGCAGATGCTCAAAAAGTGGAGTAAGAGGGTCGAACATGTACGGAAGGGAGGTCGAGATCACCCAGTAGAAGGTCTCATAATCTATACCCTTGGTACGGTCTCCGATGTCGAACGAGGTAAGGATGTTTTCGACGCAGTAACGAGCAGGTTTTAAGGACTCCTCATTGAGCTGAGAGAAATACTCTGAGGTCTTTTCGCAGGATTGTAACGGGGCTATAACAACAAACAGCATCAATAACCGTTGGAATGTGTCAAATGAAATGTGAGCTTCGTAGACGGTCCGGTCAATGCGTTGGTCATGCTTAAACACTTCAATTGCGTCCAAGGACTCAAGTGCTGCAAGAACTAGGTCGTCGTCATCATTGTAATCGTCGGCATCATTCGAAGGCTTGTCAACTGAGAACCCTGCTTCATCAGATCTGGTTTCGGGTCGACCCTGATCGTTATCCGACTTGTCCCCAGATGTGATAGGAGAAGCTTCCTTTCTTCCGATATCCGCAAGACTTCCAAATAATAGTTTGATACGGTCTTTTTTCCCTCTACGCAAAACCTTGCCGTAACGGTCTGTCAACAGAACAATCACTTTCACCATGGCGTCAAAGGTGAGAACACTTGGTGCTAGGGTATTTTGAAAAGGGAATGCCCCAAGGTAAGAGACCATGCGAAAAATGACTGGACCTGCATCAAGGGTACCAAGACCAAATTTCTCGTCACCATCCGGTATGCCCAGAAATCTGGATAGAACTTCTTCGTTCCAGTAGTGAATGTCGCCTTGTTTCAATGCCAACGAATAAAGATTATCCTTCAAGTGGGTTAATTCCAGCGGTGTGAAGCATTTTGACGCGAACCGATGAGCTAGAATGCGGCTCATTTCCTCTAGGAAGTGTTAGATATGCATACTCATCAAAAGCTTCTGGCATTGTCCCGTAGACATATGTACATAAGTTGATCTAGACTTACCGGGTGACGCTCCATGACCACTGGTATTGGTTGACTGGCCAGCACCCATAGTGACGGTAATTCAAACTGCGTGAGATAAGTAGTCTAGGTACTATAAGGCCGTGTAGATATTGACATCCGTGCCAGGTAGTTACCCTGCTGGTTCGTTCAAGTACGGGGTGGGGATTGATATGGATACTAATCGGGGGGGGTTTTCCGGACGTTATATAATCCGCAGAAAAAGACGGGTGAATGCGCCCTATTTAAAAAATCCACGCTAATGCCATTTCTAGGCAATTTATCGTGTAATTGTTTTGATCAATGACTGCATATCAACCTTTTTGCTTCCCAGTTGCAGCCTTGAATGTTGTTTCTTGTTGCTTACGAAGTTGGCTTGGAACGCCATGTCACGTGGAAGTCGCATGACACGTCATACTAGTACGTTTTAGGCTAGCATGTTAGTCGTTCTAGACCTGCGGCTCTTCGTCACGTGGATGGTTCCTCAACGGGAGATAAAAATAGAAAACCGCTTTGTAGCAGGTAAGTAAGTATATTGCAGCGAGCTGTTATGGTTATGTACAGTCCCATATATGGATGCTTATACTCAAGGGACAGTATTTGAATATGTAAAAGTGTCATTGGTAAATCGCTAGACAACAATCAAACAAGAACCACACCGACACCGTGCCTCTTGCGCTCATCAGGCTCATTGTTGCTATCAACGCCACCGGCGATGGGTGCTGTTCTGTAATTAAATAGATAGTAGTGAAGCTGTCCATCTCCAGCACCAAACTTGAGCTTTTCGAGGAATAGAGGGTTATCATGCAATGTCAGGGCATTGAATACATCGAATTTCTCCTAAATATATTGGTCAGCGGGGAGGGATCTGGGATGAACTGGAGTGAATAGTGAAATTACCTTCTTAGCGATAATCAATGCGTCATTGATAAGCAGCTGCAGACGCTCTTTCAAGCCCTTTTCATGTTCGGCAAAAGCTGTCTCTGAAGAATAGTAGTACAAGTATGCAGCCCTGACATTGCTGTGTTTCTCGTTTTGGATCACAGAGGATTCCAGGGAATAAAATGAAAAAAAGTCCGTGATTTGATGGGTATCCTTGTCTTCGACGACGAATGAATATACGACAGTCTCCGAAGTGTTTTCCTTGTTAATGAATAGATGTTGGATCTCCTCCTCACTGAAAGTCTGAGAGAGCTCAAATCGTTTCATGTAACGGTTTAGAAGACTGGACACTGCGCTGACATCTTTGGCTTCCATTGGTCGTAGTCCTGGTGTGGCCGTCGCTGATGGCAGCTGGTTTCGTGCAACCTGCCGGGCTTTTGTAGAACCCGCTGGCAGACCGGAAAATCCGACTTCGTATAGCTTCAGCCAATCTAAAGCTCGGTGGTAGTAGCGACATGAGCTGATCGGCGTGGGCAGAACGATACCGACCGTGTAGACAGCTTGGAACACACCTCTCAGATAGCATCTCCGAGTTATTTCCTTTATCAAAACCGGCGCGAGACGCTTGGATCGTAGCTTTTTGTGGACACATAGGAAATCGATACCGACTGATCGTATTATTTTTCCGCGTACACAAATTTCGATGGGAATACCACAAATTGCCGCCACTAGCTTCCTGGATTTTGAAGCTCGAACTCCAACGTGCCAATCGCTAGTCCATCCAGGCGCCTTAAGTGCCCTTATGCAGAGTTAGCTAAGTTCATTGAACAACAAGAAGCTCATTAGTTTGGAGCACCAACCAGTTTAAAAAGTCTTTCGAGTAGTTAAACCGAAACATCTCGCTCTCGTCCTCCACGTAATGGTCTGTCAGGAGCTCATACAGCTCCTGCGTCTCTTTATCATCGTTCAGATCGAGGGTAACCCATTCAAACCCATCAATTAACGGACCTGGCGTCTTCGGTACAGTCTCGATATCAATCTCCTTGATCGGTCCGTCCACTATTTCACCCTTGTCGTCGAATCTTATAACCGGCTGAGTTTGCCAGAACTTATATGATGCCATATCCTTCTTGTTTTTCGGGTTGGCCGCAAGTCCGGCTAGCAGATCCTTGATGTCCATTTTCCGCATCAACTCTGCTGCCTTCTCACTATCCAGGCCGGCGAGTTCGCCCTTCAGCGCAGGATTGGAGTCCATCAGCGCCTGTGCCGCTTTCGTGCTGAGTTCTATCGTTGCTTTGCCCTTGCCCTTGCCCTTGTCGCCGCTGCTCACGGTGGTTGAGCCATTCTTGCCTGCACCGCTGTCGGGCACATCGTTCTGCTGGCCAGGAGCCGGCTCTGCGTCTTGTTTGTCTGCCATGCTGTGGTCGGCGTCTTAATTGTCGGCGTGCTATCCAAGCTGAAGGAGGCGTTGGCGGGGATGAGGGGCAGACGTTGGTGCGGGTTGGGCTTTATTTTAAAAAAAAGATTTAATTAACTAGGAGTTAAGTTAGTTCCTGGTGTCCATCATGTGGTTGTGACCCCTGGAGTTCCTCGTCTTTCCTTCTGCCGCGATTTCGTCATAGGCGCATTTCATATACGATATTCTTGGGGGGACTGACTGGGTTACACTTCAGCATTTCTCTGACCTGTGGGCATGATCAGGGGGTGGTTATTGTAGTATTTTATTTAGCAGCTAGCTATCAATTAATTAGTTAATATTAGCTAACTAGTTTACTCCTGCTCTACCAAGGTTAACTAGTTAACATATATCTACCATAGTTATCCACGTTGGA